TGATATTGGTACCGGGCCAATGTAATAATTTCTCTGCCCGTTTTGATATGCATAGTTTTTTTGTGGGCAAATTTTTTTTTATTAATAGATAGATTGGGAATGTACAAATTGATATGCATAGTTATTATACAAATAATATTGATTGAACGGGTAAAACACATTGATAAGTTGATGCTATTAACTAATTATCCGGAATTATAATGAACATCTTTCAAACCTTAACAGAGATACTCATAACCACTTAACCGATCAAATAACAATGAAAATGGCATTGTTCCATTATGTTATGTTTCTGTCCAGCTTTATAACATAAGTAAGAATATATGCTATGTAGGTTATATATCCTTTTAAAATCACGCCAGTGACTCGTGTCTGTGTTGTAGTTCAGATGTAAAATCATTTTCCAGCAATAATAATAAAACCAAAACATGTATAGTGGCATTGTTCCCAGCACTAAACTGCATAAAGTTACAAGAGATATCAAACTTAGAATAATATAGAATGGAATACTTGAACAGAACTATGCTGATAACAGAAATAAATATATTATTTAGACACGTCAAATTCAAGTAGAAGAAGTTTACACGAAAGGGAAATATCTTCACGTTACAAATTTATGAGTGACAGAGAAAACTCACTCGACAAAGGATAGAGATGACCGAACAACCGCAATGGGATGAGATTGGAGGAAGCTAGTCATGCTAGAATTGAAGGAGAGCAAACAATTGTAAGGGTCATATGTTATAATCTAGGTTCAGTAATCCAGCCATAGAGCAAGGGTAGCAGTTAAAAAGTTTGTATAAAAGTAAAAATTGTAAAATAAAAATAAAAATTACATTTCATCCATTGGTGTCAGAGACGTTCACTTAGACTGAAGACGTCCAGCTAAGTCAGCAGTTCACAACTCATGTTGACAAAGTCATTAACATTAACTCACGGACGGAAGGACTAATGTGGGTCCACGTTGAAATTGTTGGGGACTAATTTGGTAAGGTCGAAATTAAAAAGGACCAAAATGAGTATAGAAACAAAAAAAATTATGAGAACAAGTGATATTCTTATTCAATAGCCAAAACATTAACAACCAATCGAAGGTTGCATAACTCACTCAACAAATGAGCAGTTGAAGCTAAGAAAGCGAGCAACATGCAAGTTCCAAGCATGTAGAAAAATAAGGTCCATAATCTCGTCAACATAGAACTTGGAATTTTTGAAGGTGATTTTGTTCCTAACAAACCATAAAGTTCAGATAGTAACGAACAAGTAGACATTCACTATGATTTTTTTTTCTTGTTCTCCATCCAAGATAAGAATGAATGAATTCTTAACATTTATTGAATAATTGTGTTAAGACCAACATGAGAGTAAAGATTTTGCCATATCATATGATGTCGGACATAGATACAGATCACTTGTCCCACTTCCTATCCAGACAAATCAAAATTTTACTTTTTGTTACTTTTTATTTTTTAAATTTTTTATTTTATTTATAGAACAACATTGTGATTGGCTGGGTACATGGAATGAAACAGAAAGTGAGAAGGGTGATACTTGTCCGTCAGACATAAGAAGAACAAATGATTTGATGATTCCTCCAACACACCACAAAAAGTACATAGCTCCTAAGACTCCCCGACTAACAAGATTCACTTTTGTCAGGACTTATGTTAATAGCTTTTTTTATGCCCTTAATTATAGAACAATTTCAGTTCATTTAGTTTATTAGCATGTAGCATTCAGCTCCCTCCCTTTCAACTAACCTTCAGTCCTACCTATACTCTCAGCAAAATTGGTACAACACGCTTATTTAGTTTCCTCTTTGATATGTCCATTGGTCCAACACACCCTGCAGGTTTTGGTTCCATATATATAAGTTCATGTAATATATATCCAATTTATCTAAGTCACGTCACACCATGTTTGATGATCCCGTATTTAATTTGAGATATACATACGTTTTCGTAACTTAATTTGTGATACACACACGTTTTCCTAACTTAATTTGAGATATAGACACGTTTTCCAAACATAAAACCATCCTTATAATAAGTGGATTTTAAGAGTATCATATCTCTACAATTTATCACCACTTGAAAATTAGTATCATATATCATGGAGAAAAACACATGCATTGCCATGATTCCAAGCCCTGGACTGAGCCATTTGATTCCATTTGTTGAATTTGCAAAGAGAGTGGTTCAACAAGATCATAATAATAAGCTCCATGTCACATTTCTCATTCCCACATTTGGCTCTCCCTCCTCTTCCATGATATCCATTCTAAACGTTCTTCCACCAAATATAGACTTCACTATTCTTCCTCAAGTTAACATACAAGACCTTCCTCACAATCTTAACCTTGAAACAAAAATAACTCGCACATGCAAACTCTCTCTTCCTTTTCTTCATGAAGCAGTGACCTCATTAAGTTCTCTCACTCACCTAGTTGCTATAGTTTATGACGTGTTTTCGGTCGATGCACTTGATGTGGCTAAGAAATTCAACCTCTTGTCTTACATTTTCTTTACCACAGGAGCTATATTATTATCATTCAGTCTTTGTCTTCCCAAGCTTGATGAGAGTGGTTCCCTAACAGACTTGACAAAAACTGTGAATGTTCCAGGTTGTGTTGTGCCTTTTCAAGTCAAAGATCTTCCAGATCCAGTTCTCCACGAAAGGTCAAATGAAACCTACATATATTGTGTTGAAATGTGCAAAACACTCTCATTCTTTGATGGTCTCATAGTGAATACCTTCACAGATTTGGAAGGAGATGCCATAAGTGCTCTACAAGAGAAACACGTTAATGAAAATACTCCTTGTGTTTATCCCGTTGGACCAATCATTCAAACCGAATCAACAAGGAAGGAAAACCAGTGGGGTTTTATTGAATGGCTGAACAAACAACCACCAAAATCTGTATTGTATATCTCTTTTGGGAGTGGTGGAACACTCTCTCAAGACCAGCTCAATGAGTTAGCCTTTGGATTAGAATTAAGTGGCCACAAGTTTTTGTGGGTTGTAAGAGCTCCAAATGATTCTCCTAGTTCTGCCTATCTTATTGGACAGAAGGAGGATCCACTGAATTATCTACCATCAGGTTTTTCTGACAGAACCAAAGGACAAGGTTTAGTGATTCCATCATGGGCACCACAAGTTGAAGTCCTTGGTCATGGATCCATTGCTGCCTTTCTGAGTCATTGTGGTTGGAACTCAATTCTAGAGAGTGTGGTTCATGGCATACCCATGATTGCATTGCCACTGTTTGCAGAGCAGAGAATGAATGCAGTATTGCTTACAGAAGTAATCAAAGTGGCAGTGAGGCCAAAAGTAGATGATGAAAGTGGGATAATAAAAAGGGAGGAAATTGGCAAAGTTATCAAGAGCATCATGGAAGGAGATGATGAAGGCTTGGAAATACACAAAAAAGTTAAAGACTTGAGTGATGTTGCTTCTGTTGCTATAAGTGAACATGGTTCCTCTCAAAGGGCACTCTCTAGTCTGGTACTAAAATGGTTAAATATTTGAGTGGAAAAATTATCACATCCTCATCATCTACATTAATAACTTAAAAACTAAATGAATTTATTTAAATTAAGAGTGTGATATATCACTATAAAGATTTATACTTAGTAATTATTTCATTCTTCATTCATTTGTATGATTGTAGTACTTATATTTAAAAGTCAATGATAATCAATGATGAATGAGAATGTGATATTATAAAAATCTGTTATATTGATGCATCTTTTTTCTCTTGGAATGTTTGGAACCATTAATCACTGATAGTTTCTCATGTACAAGTAGCATGCATAAATTAACAATGTACTCTAGTTATTGAGGACGTGAAAAATAATGTTATTAGCACAATAATCCAATAATAAAATTTGGTTTAGATTTTATTTTAATGATATAAGTATCGGTAGTTTTGAAATTTACCTCTGCAAATTATCCGTTGTTTTTATAGTCCCTGATCCATTTTTCATGCAGATTCATATCATGGCATGTTCAAGGAGATAAATAATGAGGTTTAGACATCAGAAAATGGTGTACCTAACAATAACATCAGAAAATGATCCATTTTGACATCTTAGTCTTTAGTATGAAACCCTTGTCTTCATTTTGACATCTTAGTCTTTAGTATGAAACCCTTGTCTTCAAAACTTCTGTTCTAGAGATTAAGCATGCAACAGGGTGCTGCTATTGTCTGCTATGCATATTTGCATGTCCCACTAGCAAACTCATGAAAATTCATGATTAAAGGACTGTAAACACTGTTCTTCTCAGATGGAACTGCTTGATTAAGAAACTTTACTTATTTTTTGGCTGAAAGAAACTAGACTTTTCTTTAAAGAACTCTTGATCATTCTTTAGATTAGATCATGAAACAGCAAAGAAATTCAAGAATTCCTTCCTGCTATTTGACTGTCAGTTTCCACAGTAAGACACATGTGTAGGCATGGTAACTTATGAGAATGGCTTGCACTGTTTTCTAAAAATTTAAGTTTGAAAAATCAGTTGTTTAGTACTAGATAGAGGTGATTGAAAACAAATTATTCAGATAATAAGAAAAGGAAGAATGGCTTTTGCTTATGAATGGTGATTGAATACACTTAATAAAAAACCTACTAAAAATTGCTTAAATTCTGAAATAAAAGGCACAGATAATTCTTCCAGAGAGGCTATGTGCTCTCTATATACTAATAAATGCCGTCAAATTTTACCTTGTTTATAGTAAGTAGGTTAGATCAGCATGCATAAGCTGATGAATGTTATTGTGTATGTCCACAGAGATTGCTGAAAGAACTTGTCAACTTGCACCTGAAATATTAGTTACATTTCGGACCCTTTCACATTCAAAACAATGAAATATTAGTAATTTAGTATACCATAATATCATTGGCTTCAAAAACAAAGGAAAAATTAACAGTTATAGAGCCTCAATTTCAACAAAAGAAATGTTGTCTAATAATGAATCCTTGAGGGGACAATGGTAGTAACATAGAATGGCAGGGCAATTCTCCTTTGGCATAAAAACAGTTCTCATGCAAGAACACTATTGCATTATGCCAAAGGAGATTTGACCTGTTATTCTTCTCTACCTTTGAAGCATACATGTTAGCAACTTTGCCTGTGTTACGAAGAATGCCAAGGATGCAATTTATTATGCGCTATTCACACATCAGTAATGGATATTCAATATATTGTACTGGTATATGCTATGGATTGTACCTCATGAACTTCTTTGTGACTGTTTTTGCAGTCATGCATGCATGGTCCCCCTTTTGTGATAGTGCTCCTCTTTCAACCACCCTTATACAGTTCCTATTGTGTTTTTACCCTACTTCACAATAACATACTGTTCTGGTATAAAACATAACACACTTATAAATCAATGTTGTATTGTACATGGACAGCGGTTTTAAAAAGGTGTTGCCAAAAGTTAAAAACCGTGGCCTAAACTAAAGGCAACACCTTAGACTAACATAGTTAAAAAACTGTTGCCTTTGGTAAATTCAAAGGGGTTTTTGATCTTTTGCAAATATTATATCAAATATAATTATTATGTGATCTCTTAAAATTGTTAAATTGGTATTCCAGCATTTGAACAATAGGTAAGAAATCTCTTGTGATTATAACAAATGTTAGTGCGTTACCATAGAGCTTTGGTGAGTGGAAAGTGCCATGCAATCCACTCAGCTCTATTTACAGATCCCCCCTAATATGTTATAGACTACAAACTTTCGGACAATAAAGTAGAAAGTAAAAAAAACTGCTTCGGTACATGAAATTATGTTCAAATGAGCTCTAGCTAAAAAACTTCAAAGAAAAAGAGAATTTGGATATGCTGAAATATGAGCAGCATATACTAAGTTAAATATAGGTACAATGTTTTCAACCAATTTTTATGGACAAAGATTTCATGGAGAGAGAGAAAGGGAGAGCACATACCTCTGGATTCTTTTCTTTTTCACATTTTCAAATTGTTATTCTAAGGTACTGAAAATTTAAACACCTACATGTGATACCAACCTTTCTGTTCTTGGCTAGTTTTCAAAGTTTCTGCTCCTTTCAAAAGAAAAGTTTTATTCTGATACTTGAAAGTAGTGACCCTTTAAAGTGTGAGTGGCTGCATAATGGAAAAACAAAATAGTAATGCAAGGAATCTATACAAATTTCAGGGTCATAATTAGTAATACTAATTTATAAAAATTGGTCATCTATGTACGTGCATGACATGTGCAGAAGATATAAGGTAGTAAGTCATACAATCAAGAAAGCATATTAAGGGAAGAAGTTGGTAATTCCGAAGTATTGAAGAATTGTAGGAATAGAGTTAGGAAAGAAAGAAAACATAAGGGAAGATTGCTAACAAGCTATATCATTATTGATAAGTTAAATGTGTGATACAAGTTACAAAACACTAATAAAAACACCCCTATTTATATTGATAATTAGGTCAAGTACTAACATGTTAATACCATCCCAAGCCCAACATAAGACTGATAATCTAATAATTAATAAGCCTACTATTCTACAAGAAGGAACTAATTATCTACGTTCATTTTCTGTAGTATATTGGCCTGATGATAGAAGATTGGAGAATTTCTGTACAATACCATGTTCCCATGAATCTTAGACTTAATTGGTGCATGACAAAGTGACAAACAAACCTCAATTTTTTGTTTTATTTTATAGAGACCATAATTCATGGATGTGATACTGGAAACAACTATTGTTATGACAGCCTTCACATAAAATCATGACAGAAGACAAAGCTATTGACACGCCTGCAGCATGTCTTACCTCTCTTTAAATAGTTTATCTGCTTAGCATCTTCAGCGACACTTGCTCTTTGTACTAATGCTCTCAATATTTTCCCTCTTATTTTGCACTTAACAATATTGAGTGCATATAATATTCTACCTCTGGTTCTATTTTCCTCTATGATTTGAACGTGTGGATAAACTCAGTATACTAGAAAGTAATTAAGTTGCAAGATGCAAATACCTAATGTCATGTATGATTCTGTAGACTCTTATGTTGCCTAGTGTTCAAATAAATGAGAGAAACCAATGTTATATATTAGGTGAGGTTCTTAGTGCACCAATTAGAAATATCACATGAGCTTTAGGTTCATAGGTGTGTAATAGTTGAAGTTTTCTAAAGACACTTCATGATTCAATTGAGCTGAGTATGATCTTCTAAGATACTTTAAACAAATATAAAATACAATCTATACTATGATATTTTATTTATCTGTTTATCTCTAGATATTCTTTTATAAGATAATTTAAGATATTTTTATATACTTTCATATATCCTTCCAACTGCAACTAAATTTGATAACTTCCTATAAAACATTTTTTGTAAAACTAGGTGCTATGTAAGTTTCTCATCACTTACATCTATATACTGTATAAGAAAACTAAGTCTTTGCCACATTAGCCATGACATGTGTCATCACCACAGTCGTTCTTTTCCCTCCAAAAAAAATTTCTTCATTTCCCCTCCAACATTGTCAATCTATACATGTTCATTTCATTTAAATTTTCTCCTCATATTTGATATTTGATCACTTGTCTTTAAATAATTCAAATGTCAAAAATATAATGTTTCTTCATTGTTCTAAAAAGAGATGTACAACTTTTCATGGAAATTAACTTAATATATTCTTTTATCTTTGAATCTATGTTATGGTAAAAACAAAATTTTATTGTTATCAAATTAAAATATATTATGAATACAATTTTTTTATCTTATATTTTTATTGAATTTATTAATCATTACATATATTATATATTTATTAAAAAATGATACCATAATTTTTTAATTATCTCTCAAATGTATCATATAAGTTAATTAAAGATAATAAAATGTCAAAAATTATAACCTTTTGTTTTCTTTTCTTTTTACCTGTAGACAAACTTTTCAAGTATTAAAATGGTCATTTATATGAATTGTGGATAATTATGAAATAATAACGGTTTTGGAGATAATTATTCTCGAGATTTAAGAGTAATTAATGTGAACAATGAAATATAAAAATACATAGTAGAAAACTAACAATAAAGAAAAATTCGTAAGGGAATAGAAACTGCATAGGTGAATAATGACAATAAATTTTGTTATACTATGGTAATTTGTAATCGAATAAGTGAATAAATATTGTCTATCAGTTGCAAACTAATAATTAACAATTAATGATTACTTGAATAAATACCGTCGACCATTAGGAAAGAAATAAAACTGGTGAAAATAAGAGAATAAAAACACATATTGTCATTTAATGTGGTGCTTATGGGTGATATTGATGATGTTATTAAAGGTTGAAAATAATGTATAGTAATCGCTACATGCAAATTAGTATGTCTGCTTTATTTTTTAAAAAAATCTAAAAATTTAATTATAATTTTCTCATTTCTATTACTATCTTTAAAATATTTTAACAGTTTTAATCCTAAATAATTTAGGCCTCCATTATTTTGAGAAAAAAAACTGAACTATATAATTATAATTTCTCTATTTCAATGACCATTTATTACTAAATTTCATTTCTATCTATTAAAATATTATTTTCGAAGTTGTCATACTAAATCATTAAACTCGTAAAGTACTAATCATTAAATTACTTATTAAAAAATATGAAATAATAAATCAGTTATACTAACAACTACTAAGAAATAATATCTTAGAAGTAAAATAAATTATAGGCAAGTTACATTATGTAATTATCACAATAAATCATAAAATTAATCAACTTCTCCATATGTACGTCTATATTAATAATGAACAATATAAGTTTTTATTATATTTATTAGATAGTCAACTATATAGACTCTAAAGCATGAAAATCAATAAGGAAAGTACAAAAGTGTATGGGTAACATGTATTTTCTTAGCAATCTGAATGTACGAATAACGTGTGTGTTTTTAACCATGCGAATGCATTGATCACATGTGTCTTCTTAATGCACACGTAATATGTGTGTTTTAACCATGCAAATGCACAAATAACGTATATTCTTAACCATATGAATGCATATATAATATAATTCTGAATCATGACAACCAAAATGTACTTTGACTCATAGCATGTTAATGTTTTATATTAAAATCAATTGACAATGAGAAGAGTATTCCAACAGATATTTAAACTATTTCCGAGAATGTATTAATTCCAGACAAAAGTATCCTTCTTAACTTAGTTTTGGAATACAATAAACATGTTGAATTGCTTCAACCAAACAGATTTTAGCAGTGGATGATAAATCAGTGTCTGACTGAAGTTGGTTTATTTATTTATCACAGTAATAATCAAATTAAATATTGGTTACTAACTAAAACTGTATTTTATTTTTTTAATTACATTTATCACCAACAGAGATAATCATGTATATTAGTACCTAAGATTTTCTAATTCCGCCCTAATCTAATATATCAGATGATCATGTATATTAGTACATTTATCACTAACATTAATATTATAATATATTATTCTATATAACATATACATATTTTTTCAATTTATGTACATGTAATATTAATATTCACAAATTATAATATATAAATATATATATATATAATACAAATCAAATGATGTGTGATAAGAAAAGTGGTTAACTACTTGTGTGGTGGATCTACTAAAATCTTTAAAGTGGATGGTCCAAACTTAAAATTTTACCTTAGACATTCACATCTAACTTAATACTCAAATCAATACTTTGTGAAGACTACTTAACAAAAAAAAGACTTTGTGAAGACTAAGGATGAGGATATTGTAAGTCTAGAGGAAGACTCCCCTCCATTAATGGAGAGGCAAATACCCAAAAAATCAAAGAAAGTGAAAGATGCAATGTTATTTTTACCCTCTTTATTTAAAAGATGATTACACATTTACCCTTATAATACACATAAAAAATTCATTTGCCTCTCCATTAATAGAGAGGAATACTACTCGTAAGTCTAATGCTTCTCATAGTATTAATTAAAGGTAACATTTTTTCATATAACATTATATTTTTTGCCTTCTTAAATTCAGCCCTTGGAGCTAATCATAACTTCATGATTGTTAACCAAATCAAAAAAGTAATATGGA